TACATTTGTACAGCTTCTTAGATAAAGTGACACTCGAGATAGTTTTAATTTCTAAATCGCTACAAAAGAAATGGAGTGAAGCGTTTCGAAGTTAAACTGTCACTGTCGTGTTATTTTGTCTATGGGGAATCGTACATAGAGTGCAGAGACAAAGTGACATAAGTGCTAATAGAATGTTTTTATTTATTAAGTTTTATTTGACTGTAATATAAATGAAAATGTGTATATTTTGTTTTGCGTTGTTATTATAGAACGTCGTAAATAATGTTTTTTTGCGAAACGACCCCTGAGCTGACCCCTTTATAGTTATTTTTTTGTTTTTGTTTGTAACTGTTGTGTGCAATATATGCCTAACCTAACCTAACTGTATATTTACCAAAACCTACTTATAGATTGTGCCATCCACGAAGACGCTCCCCACCATTCTTCCGCTAATGTTAGTGTTATCGGTACACGCTAAATTATCCATGTGTGCACACGCACACCTCAATAATGCTGCTCGGATTGCTTGGATCAAACTCCCCGCACCCCGCGCGATCGAGACCAAACATTGATGGGGCGTGTCTTCGTGGATGACACGATCTATACCGATGGGTCGTTCATTCAGTCATCTGAAAAGGTTAGGGTGTATCGAAATAACACAACTAATGAAAATAGTAAAATAGACATTTATTTGCTTTCTCTCAACTTTCGTAATTGCATATTTGATTGAGTATTTAACACAACAAGGCACTTACAACCTATTTATGACAAACTTCATAAGATGGATCCAAAATTTAGAAATACTTTACAAGAGAAGGCGAACACAGTTATGATGCTGACCGAGCGACAAGCTTAGCGCATGTCCAAAGGGATTTTATTGTTTACCATCCACAGTTCAGTGAATTTTTAAGGTGGTCAAGCAATTGTGAATACTGGTTCACATTATGTCGGGTCGACAATTTTGCCATTCGAACCGATATTCTTCTATTGATCATTCGTAACTTTAATCTCAAGAAAATTTTACAGCTAGAAAATCCGATATCAACCGAAACCTTACCTTACCAATATGTTCCCGACAGTTTTCTTGGGTTGAACAATGCTATTTAAATACGTAATGTACCAAACGCTTCTACTGCTTTTTTGTTTTGGTAAAACTTGTCCTGACAATGTGACCAGTTATTCCATATCCATACTGTGCCCGCCTCGTCACTACAATTTGGCACGGCGATCGCCCCATAGCACCACATACTTACAGACTTATGTTACACCAATAAATTTATTGTGCGTATATTATTTTACTATTTTCCGTTTTGATTCTCGCGTTTTCTAATCAAAAGGAGCATATATTTACATAAATGTGAATCGCATAGATAGCCGACTGTGAGCGGAGAAATACAATCACGCACTTAATATTAGTATAAAACAAAACCAATGCGCAGTGTTGGCCGACAAACCATAGATATTTTAGTCTATGAATTATTGCAGTTCTATTTTTCGAAAGTTCAACATTGATACATAATTACGCCACACACTGCGCCATTGGCATAGTATGAAAAAAGCATTCGACCACATATTTCGAAGCATCCTCCGTGTACAAGACTCCAGTGCCTATAACAACATCCTTGGACCTCAACAAGATAAACAACCGGCCCTGACACCCGGCAGGAGAACAGGTTACAAAGCTTTCAAGCGGTGGCCCGAGGCACCTTACAATTATTTAACGTCAAATATAACATTTGTTCGCTTAGTACCGATCTCTACAGCTCAGTCGCACGAATCTCGATATCGCGATTCAGAATCAAGACTAACGCCATCTATTGGCTAAAGTAGTCAACCTGAACTATAGAGGTCGCCACGCAATTGTTGTCACAAGTTTACATAAGTACATTACATCTGCATCTATACACGTTTGTGTGGCCTATAAAACTCAAAAAAGAAAAACAATACAATACAAAATCAAGCTTCAAAATTACAAAAAAAATGTGAAACGATTTACATATAAACCCTTCAATGGTAAACAAGCATTTTCGTACACATTTAAAATTCTTTGTCATGATCTTAAAACGAACATCTAATATTACGCCATCTTACAAATTACAAAATAATAATAATCATCATAATAATAATACTATTAAATTTAACTATAATACTTGCCGCCTCAATAGAGACGGCGCTTAACTGTCAAATGTCAGTTTTACAGTGACATGACTAGTTGTCAAAAGCACGTTTTTCATAGTTATTGTCGTCGTTACGGTTAGAGTCGCAGCCGACTCATTTGATCTACTTCACGGTAGGGCGACATCTACAAAAACGTATCACACAGAAATAAAAAATAATAATTTGTTAAAAAACAGTGACAATAATTGTCAAAGACAACAATTTAATCAATTATACCAAGTGCATTTGTTTTACAAAAGGAGAGTTAACAATAACCGCTTTCATAGATGGCGCCCTACGCGATATGATATAATCTAATACCTAGAATTTTAGTAGAAATACTTTTAATACCGGCGACATGTGACAAACTAAGAATACTATTAAAAATTCAAGACAAGCCTAAATCGAAATTATTAAAACAGCAAACTTAAGACTTACAGCTATTTTCATCGTCAACTGAAAGCATAAAAAAACAAATAAGACGTATTTTTTCTTCTTACCCATTCAAGTATTGACCAGAATACAGTTTTTTTTTTTTTTTATGGCAATCCGCGCAGTATGCCTATACCCGTGCCAGAGTCGAAAGAATACAGCCCCCCTAGACAAAACGCACTTTTTGATCGAATCGAAAATCGAATCCGTCAAATTCCATACAAAAAAGGGGCTTTTCGACCACTTTTCGACTGGTTTGCGATTATAATGGCACTTTGTCTAGACCCACAGTTTACATGACATTTGTTGCGCTTACGCAAACCATAGACAAAAGATGACGTACAATTTTAAATTTAGAATTACCATAGACAATTTTAAGGTTGCAAATGTGTAAAAAGGTTTCACTTGACGATGAAAACAGCACGAAAACAGAATAGTGATACAAGTAAAGGACAATTAATACGCGTATTGAGCCAGCAATTGTTTAGAAGCGTAACCTGCAGTATCGTATTATAATAAGCACCTTAGTAAACACTTGACACTTATCTAACTTATCCGTACATCTAGCAAATATCGTTTGTGATTACAAGGGGCGTACACATTTCATATTAAAAATACTCTTTCATAGAAAAACTCCATTCCAAGTAGATTGTAGTAAAGGTGGTCGTATTGACTTAGATTGAGCCCAATAAAATATTTTACTAACATGCATTTGCGCTATAAATATTATAATTCGAGCTATACTTTTGAGATTGAGACATTGTTTAGATAATCTGAATACGTTTTACAAATATATTTGAACAATTAATCGATATTTTAACCGACTAAAAAAGAAGGAGGTTCTCAACCGTCTGTATGCTTTTTGTAATGTGTCCATGTAATCACATACCATATTCAGTTACAATCAGATGTGTACACAAGTTAAAATAAATAGCGTTGCCGAAAACGATAATATCCTAAATATTGTTAATCATGTGTGTTGACATGTGATTTCATCATTGACAAGGTTCGAATTCGTTTCTACAGTCGTAAAGATGGCGGTAGATAGACCACGTGACTTAGCGAAAACTAGTGTCATTTTTACTCGTTTGCGAAATTGAATGCCATCTTTACAATGATAAATACCAGACATTTAACTCTTGATAATTATAAACATCTTAAATTGCACGTATTTTCATCGATGTTGATGAATCAGTAACGAACTCTACGGCAGACAGACTTGTTCATCACAAGTAACGTACTTACTCTAGTGCAGACATGAGGGTAATGTTTTCGAGACTTTGCCATGACACGTCAACACGCACGCCTGGCTACTAAACAATAAATCTTGATGAGACTGGTAACGTGTGGTCACCAAATAAATAACGATCGCTACATCGATATGAAATTTTAGATTAAATGAGAAGAGTTCACACGAACTAGGCATAGTTGGCTCCAAAAGAACATAGTAAAATAGTTTGTGACTGAGTTTTTATTTGTATTTTGAAGCCGTACGGAACCATCTGCTGCGTTAAGAAAAAATATTAAGGACGATAAAGATACTATTTTAACTGTATATTTTTTACTTTTGAAACAGGACCCTCAAAGTAAATGACGCTAACGCCATCTATACGTTTTAAATCTTTCCGCAAAAAATATTTATCGATATTTAGACGTTTCATTTGATGTGTCAACAAATTAGATAGCAAAAATTGATTATTACAACAAAACCGATAATTGCATTACAATAAAAAAAAACAATCGTTTTGTGTTGAACGTCACATCCCTAGTTTATAGCTCTTTCCGAATAAAACGCAACGCAGCAAAGTTTCACATAGTACAGGCGACAGCACAGAAAAGTAGCACGTATTACAAAGTGCATAAGACTGTGTGTAACTTGACGTGCCGTCGTCTGTGCGAGCTATACCAGTCCGCGTGACACCCCAAACTGAGGGAACACTAAATGCGAGCGATATCACCAATATTCTTTCATTTTCGAAGGATAAGGCACATCATTGATTCCGCATATCACTTTCTTTAAAACTTACTATTTACAAATTACTGTTATAAATAAATAAACATAATCATACCTTTCATATTATATACGAACAATAAAATATCAATACATCCAAAAAGCGCTTAAACTGGCCGTTTGCTATGCGTAGCGCGAAGTTAAAAATTATTGTCAATCCATTGCACTATTGTTAATTTATTACATTTAAATAATGTAATGACATTTTATTGATATTGTTTAAAGTTGTTAATTTTTCTAAGCCGCTTTTTAATTTTCGTAATTACATTTTGTAAATAACGCTGGACATTTTTTACAATAAAATTTTATAAAATGAAACAGAATGTAAAAAAGTAAGATTTAGAAAAAATATCAACTGATGCCTTTGTATTTTGAATGGAAACTAATCAACATCAAATAAAAAGCTTTTATCAACCTNATCAACCTTGTAAAATAGGTCGCTAACAATATCAAATAGTTATTTATTTAAATAACTAATGAAATAGCATGTTTGACTGATCATTGTATTTTATATTTCAAAAAAAGTTTCTAAGGAAAAAACAAAGGCATCGAGAATTTATCTCGTAATTCGACCGATCTCATGCACAAAGACAAAAACTTCTGTACAAACATTTTAATTCAATTCCTAGGGCGTTTAACATTAGTTTGAGACCATTTAGATAACTGTGTTTCACCGGCTTTACCTCTAGCTTGTCGTACGACTTTGCCCTTTATTTCAATCAGAATAAGTGTTTCAAATTTATTTTGACGTAAATCGGTTAGTTGACCCAATAATTCCATGGTAAAAGTTCTATAAACACATAATTCTAGGCCTAAAAACCNAAAAACCCAAATATTTTAAAATTATCAATAAAATAAGTTTCAAGTGGATTTGAAATCAATAAATGGTCAATGACGAAAAAGTGACGTCATAGCTTGGCGATAATTTTGACAGTCATTGACTATAATAGTGCTGTCAAGTACATTACCAATTTCTGGGCATTTAACGGTATATTCTGTCATATTTCATGTTCACCAATGGCAGCTGTCAAACCTTTATGACAAGGGCGAAAATATTCGTACGAGAAGCTAGAGGTACTCTTATAAAAATACATGCTAAGATACTCTGGTGAATCTAACTGTGTTTAGAATGTAACATCGAAAACGGATAATTTTTAAATATGTCAGTTTTTTACCAATTAAATATTTAGTAAATTGTCATGCAGTCCCGTATACTGTATCAAATTCAAAACTGACATTTCTCTGATGTTACGTTATTCTAATCAAGTTACAATGTGCAGAGTATGCTTCATTATCGTCGACTTAGTATAATTCCGGGTGTAATTTTTATGTTTCTATTGAATCTTCACTGAACAATTTTTCGGAGATCGTTCCCTATACCTGGCTGTGTAACATTCACCTGAGCATGATCCTGTTGACGAGAAGCATGGTGTTGGTCGCCTACGCCTGGAAATACATAATATGTTTGTCTTGTTACTTTAATTCTTCAGTGTAGAAATAATTGCGACTTCTGGCGGGAAAGTCAAGCGTTATATTTGGCATTTTTGTTTCATTTGCTCCGATTTGGTGTTGTACTTAAAAAAAAAGATATCATTATCAAATTGTGAATATCCCCGTTAAAACGCGGTTTCCTTCAATGCGGAAAGGAAAGGAGATGTATTTGTTGATCAGTTATTCAACCCTCTGCTTTGGTGGACACCGGGCCTTCAAGAAAGTCCAGCGGTCGACGGTCGGTTAATCAGTATACCTGTAACTCAGACCTCGTCGGGCGCCATGGCGTCGTCGTGGTGGTTATCCAGCGTGGGCGCAGGCAGGTAGGGTTTTTATTGGCGGTCAAGCTAGATACTGGCTACACAGGAGTTGCAGCAGTGGGAACGAGAGGTGGGAATGGTCTATACCTGTAGCTTAGATTTCGTCAGGCGCCATGGCGTCGTCATGGTGGTTGGGCTGGCATCACTAGGGCTTATTGGCGGTCAAACTGTAGATCCTGGCTACACAGGAGTTGCAGCGGTGGGAACGAGAGGTAAGAATAGTCCATACCTGTAGCTCGGACCTTGTCACACTCCATGGAGTTGTCATGTCGATTGTCCGGCTCAGACTCGGGCTACGGGGAGGGCGGGGCCTGGGCCTCTAGAAGGGAGTCCTACAGGCCACGCGACACATACTTGCGCTCAGACCTCGTCGGGCGCCATGGCGTCATCATTGTGTTTGGGCTGGCATCACGAGGTGCCGTATCGAGCTCGCGAATTATGTGCAGACCCCATTAAGTCCTATAACTCCACATACCTGCCGCTCAGACCTCGTGGGGCGCCATGGCGTCGTCGTGGTGGTTGTCTGGCGTGGGCGCAGGCGTCGGCTGAGGCGATGGCTGCGGCGAGGGCGGGGTCTTGGCTGTGGCCTCTAGTGAGTCCTACAGGCCACGTGACATATACCTGCCCTCAGACCTCGTCGGGCGCCATGGCGTCATCATGGTAGTTGGGCTGGCATCAGTAGGGCTTATTGGCGATCAAGCTGTAGATCCTGGCTACACAGGAGATGCTGCGGTGGGAATGGTCCACATCTGTGGACAGTTTAACTTTCCCTCGGGACAAACTTGACCTTCATTGGTTGGGTTTTTGTGGCGGTCAAGCTGTAAATCCTGGCTACACATGAGTCGCTGCGGTAGGAACCAGACATGGACTAACATCTCCTTCTTCCTCGGTCCCTCACTGATGAGGATCGCGACCACAGATAGTGTTCCTCCACAGACTGCGGTCATAAGCTGTGTAGACCGCACGATGCAAACTCCCGCCCACTGTCTTCCTCACCGCTAAGTTAGTACTAACATACCTCGTCGGGCGCCATGGCGTCGTCGTGGTGGTTATTCGGCATGGGCGCCGCTTCGAGAGCATCAATGCGGTGCTCTAACTTACTCGTGTTAAGTGAGTCCACCACAACATCCCAGCGTTCGACTGTCCTATAGTTCCACATACCTGCCCTCAGACCTCGTCGGGCGCCATGGCGTCGTCATGGTGATTATCCGGCGTGGGCTGCGGCGAGGGCGTGGCCTTGGCAGCGGCCTCTAGAAGGGAGTCCTACAGGCCATGCGACACATACCTGTAGCTCAGACCTCGTCGGGCGCCATGGCGTCGTCGTGGTGGTTGTCTGGCGTGGGCGCAGGCGTGGGCGTGGGCTGGGGCGATGGCTGCGGCGAGGGCGGGGCCTTGGCTGTGGCCTCTAGTGAGTCCTACAGGCCACGTGACATACCTGCTCAGACCTCGTCGGGCGCCATGGCGTCGTCGTGGTGGTTGTCTGGCGTGGGCGCAGGCGTGGGCGTGGGCTGCGGCGATGGCTGCGGCGAGGGCGGGGCCTTGGCGGCGGCCTCGAGCGCGCGGATGCGGTTCTCTTGCTTCACGATGACTGACTTCAGCTTGCGGATCTCGTCCACCAGGTCGGACAGCTGCTTCTCCTGGAAGGCGATATTACGAGTAGAGTTAAGATATGAACAGTTTCGTCATAGTTTCATAGTTATTAAGTACTTTGTGAAGGGTTTTACAAAATAATTAAACAATATCCAGGGTTTGGGTGGATAACAAGGACGGTTGTCTATAAAAAATCATAAAACTCATTTATTTCTGTAAATAGGCTTTAAAAAAGCACTTTTACACGTCCCAGTATTAACCCTACCACTGCTTCAGGACAATAATTGGGCCAGTGCTGAGAAGCAGCAGCGTTAACATTTGACATTCAATTAATTTTATGATGTGGGCGGAGCTAGGAAGTAAGAAAGAAAGAAAGATACATTTATTACACGAGTAGACGCATGGCTTACTTTTAATCTGTTACGACTGTGGGCGGGGCTTGTTGGCTAAAGTTTAAAGGAATCATTGATAGATATTGGACTTACAATCTGCTGCGTAACTTGTGCGGCAGGCGGCGGTCAAGCGGTGGCGTATCGGCCTAGCTATAAGACTGGGGGGAAAAGGGGTCACAAGATTTGCTGCGTGGCAATGACTAGTCTGGTCGTGCTAGCTATAGGGCGGGGGGACTAGTATCGGGGCGGGGCTGTTTGGTACACGTTTCGCTAAAGTTCAAAAAATATTATGCCAATATTGGTCACTTAAAAATTAGGGATTGGTGGTGAAAACGGGCATTAACCGCTTGGGTCCCAGACGGCATTCATTAATGTCATAACAATTGATTATCTATTGTGTCTAGATTCGCGGGCCTTGAAGGATTAAACTTACAATCTGCTGCGTAACTGGTGTGGCAGGCGGCGGCGTAGCAGCCTGGTCGTGCTTAGAAGCCGGCGTGGGTGACCTCTCCTTGCCAGCAGCGAGCGCGTTCTTCTTGGTGACGTTCAGTAAATTTTTGAGGGCGGGGCCACTTACAGTCTCCCACGATTGTGGGCGGTGCTTGTCAATTGAGGGGAGTTTTTAGTCACATTAAACTTACAATCTGCTGCGTAACTGGTGTGGCAGGCGGCGGCGTGGCGGCTTGATCGTGCTTAGAAGCAGGCGTGGGCAACCTTTCATTGCCGGTAGCGAGCGCGTCATTCTTTGGTGACAATTAGTAAATTTTTGTGGGCGGGGCTTGTCAATTGAGGGGAGTTTTTAGTCGCATTAAACTTACAATCTGCTGTGTAACTGGTGTGGCAGGCGGCGGCGTAGCAGCCTGGTCGTGCTTAGAAGCCGGCGTGGGTGACCTCTCCTTGCCAATAACGAACGCGTTCTTCTTGGTGACGTTCAGTCAATTTTTGTGGGCGGGGCTAAGTTACAATCTCCCACGATTGTGGGTGGGGCTTGTCAATTGAAATTTGGGGAGTTTTTAGCCACATTAAACTTACAATCTGCTGCGTCACAGGTGCGGCGGGCAGCGTCGTAGCGGCCTAATCGTGCTTGGAGACAGGCGTGAGCAACCTTTCATTGCCGGTAGCGAGCACGTCATTCTTTGGTGACATTCAGTAAATTTTTGTGGGCGGGGCTTGTCAATTGAAATTTGGGTAGTTTTTAGCCACATTAAACTTACAATCTGCTGCGTCACAGGTGCGGCGGGCAGCGTCGTAGCGGCCTAATCGTGCTTGGAGACAGGCGTGAGCAACCTTTCATTGCCGGTAGCGAGCACGTCATTCTTTGGTGACATTCAGTAAATTTTTGTGGGCGGGGCTTGTCAATTGAAATTTAGGGAGTTCTTAGTCACATTAAACTTACAATCTGCTGCGTCACTGGTGTGGCAGGCAGCGGCGTAGCGGCCTATCGGCTTGGAAGCAGACGTGAGCAACCTCTCCTTGCCGGTAGCGAGCGCGTTCTTCTTGGTGACATTCAGTAAATTTTTGTGGGCGGGGCCAAGTTACAATCTCCCACAATTATGGGAGTGGCTTGTTGGCTAAAGTGTAATGGAGTCATTAATAGATATTGGACTCACAATCTGCTGCGTGACGGATGCGGCGGGGGGGCGACCTAGTCTTGCTAGCTATAGGACCGAGGGGAAAAGGGATCCTCCAGGGACTCAAGATCTGCTTCGTGGCAGTGACTAGTCTGGTCGGCTAGCTAAAGGTCCTATAGGGTGTTGAGGAGTTGAACTTACAATCTGCTGCGTAACTGGTGTGGCAGGCGGCGGCGTGGCGGCCTGGTCGTGCTTAGAAGCCGGCGTGGGCGACCGCTCCTTGCCGGTAGCGAGCGCATTCTTCTTAGTGACATTCAGTAAATTTTTGTGGGCGGAGCCTACTGGCCCCTACAAGACGAGACGCACACACTTACCTACTGGTAAGTAGCAGTAATCTCTCACGATTGTGGGGCGTGGCTTGTTGGCTGAAGTGTAATGGGAATCATTGATAGATATTGTACTTACAATTTGCTGCGTAACTGGTGTGGCAGGTGGCGGCGTAGCGGCTTGATCGTGCTTAGAAGCAGGCGTGGGCAACCTTTCATTGCCGGTAGCGAGGGCGTTCTTCTTGGTGACTTTCAGTCAATTTTTGTGGGCGGGGCCAAGTTACAATCTCCCACGATTGTAGGCGGGGCTTGTCAATTGAAATTTGGGGAGTTCTTAGTCACATTAAACTTACAATCTGCTGCGTAACTGGTGTGGCAGGTGGCGGCGTGGCATCCTGGTCGTGCTTGGAAGCCGGCGTGGGTGACCTCTCCTTGCCGGCAGCGAGCGCGTTCTTCTTGGTGACATTCGGTAAATTTTTGTGGGCGGGGTCACTTACAGTCTCCCACGATTATGGGCGTGGCTTGTTGGCTAAAGTTTATGGGAATCTTTAATTGATATGGACTTACAATCTGCTGCGTAACTGGTGTGGCAGGCGGCGGCGTGGCGGCTTGGTCGTGCTTAGAAGCCGGCGTGGGCGACCTCTCCTTGCCGGTAGCGAGCGCGTTCTTCTTGGTGACATTCAGTCAATTTTATGTGGGCGGAGCCATTGGTATGTGTGTGCGTCTTGAGTTGACGAGTGGCTTACTTACAATCTCCCACGATTATGGGCGTGGCTTGTTGACTAAAGTTTAAAGGAATCATTGATACATATTGGACTCACCTGCTGCGTAACTTGTGCGGCAAGCGGCGGTCAAGCAGTGGCGTAGCGGCCTAGCTATAAGACTGGGGGGAAAAGGGGTCTCAAGATTTGCTGCGTGGCAATGACTAGTCTGGTCGTGCTGTGCTAGCTATAGGGCGGGGGAACTAGTATCGTGTTTGGTACACGTTTCGCTAAATTTCAAAGAATATTATGCCCATATTGGTCACTTAAAAATTAGGGATTGGTGGTGAAAACGGGCATTAACCGCTTGAGTCCCAGACGGCATTCATTAATGTCATAACAATTGATTATCTATTGTGTCTAGATTCGCGGGCCTTGAAGGATTAAACTTACAATCTGCTGCGTAACTGGTGTGGCAGGCGGCGGCGTGGCGGCTTGATCGTGCTTAGAAGCCGGCGTGGGTGAGCGCTCCTTGCCGGTAGCGAGCACGTCATTCTTGGTGACATTCAGTACATTTTTGTGGGCGGGGCCAAGTTACAATCTCCCACGATTGTGGGTGGGGCTTGTCAGTTGAAATTTGGGGAGTTTTTAGCCACATTAAACTTACAATCTGCTGCGTAACTGGTGTGGCAGGCGGCGGCGTAGCAGCCTGGTCCTGCTTAGAAGCCGGCGTGGGTGACCTCTCCTTGCCAGCAGCCAGCGCATTCTTCTTGGTGACGTGCAGTTGCGTTGCGGCGCGGCCCGACACGTAGCCGCCCTGCACGACAAGAGCGCGCTCCTGTAGTTTGGTTAGGGAGCCCCTAGCCTATAGCATCTGTCTTTTGATAGTTCTGTTGGCTTTATTGATAATTTGGGGGGTTTATAGATTTTAAGATTGAAATTGTTGTTTTTTGAATAGTTAATCGTTTATTGCATTTCACTAGTGTTATTGTAACGTGATAACTTCAGAATCATAAAAAGGAAATGATGATTTGCTGAAAACGGTTTTTAGTATAAACCGTTTCGTTTATGTCAAAAAATAAAACATTGACACATGTCTACTTAGACAAAGTAAGCAAATATCTATACCCACTACTTTTCACTAAATAAAAAAACATCTAATATTAAAGACATCATGGTAATTCAATGAAAACATTTATAAATGTATTCTAAATAAGCAATCTTATGTAGGTAATTCCCAATTTAAATGTAACCCAAATTAATTACATGAGCCCCATTGATATTATTCGTTATGTTGGTTATTGTTAGTAACAGTATCAAAGCATCAAACTCAGTTATCACATGGAACACAACACAGCAGTTTTAGAGGAAGCCAACAGAATCATCAATCAACACTGGCAAGAGTCAACACATTTATACCTAAGTATCTTCACAGACTGACGCCCGTATTCACAAACATTAGCGCGTGGACGCACAAGGTGACACGCGAACCAATCACAGAGCTCTATTCAACGCTGTGCGTTCGATTTGCTGCTTCGGCTACCTAAGTAAACTTCGACATTACGTTACTCCGACACTTCTGAATATCCTAGGCGAATATCCTTTGTCTAAGTAGTGTAGTGTCGAAGTAAAGTCAAGTATTGTCGAAGTAACGTTTATCGGAGTTAAGTTTTTGAGCCTGCTGTTTCACTTAAGCAACTATCGTTTGTGAATACGGGCAAAACGTCCACGTCAGAATCGTGTGGCCACCACGCATTTTTGGGGAACTGAAAGTCAAATAGCCAAAAGTTTGCTGGCCATACCACTAAAAATATCTTTTAATATTTATCCAGGACTGCATACAAACATGCCATCTAGAAACAAATTATAATAACGCGTGTTGTAATGACTACAATGTGTTGACCCTTATTTTTAACATTGTTTACTACATAAACTCATATTATGCCATATGTAGTCCATCGACATAGGCTTGTAAGAAATTCGGGCTTAGTTTACGCAGAAATATTGTTATTATAAAAATAGTAACGATTTGAATCATGTATAATGTAATCGGAATAGGTAGATATTTAAGATGATTACGTTATCAAAGGACAAGTTTTTAATTAAAATCAATTGTAATCATAAATCATAAAACGTGAAATATCTGCATATTCCGACCACAGATCTGAGGGCCTAGTGTGCGTTTACATCAAATGTCATCACTAGTGAGCGCGATAAAAAATGACATTAAATGTATGACGAATTGTACAGCGCCCCTAGCGGAAACGTTCAAGAAATAAATTTTCATACATATATTTTTTTAAAGCGCTCACTAGTGTGGACGTTTGATATAAACTCATACTAAGCCCTCTGATCAGTTGATTCTTCCATCGAGAGAACACAGTGTTTATACTCAAGTGTAGGATATTTCCTATGTCACACAATATCACTTACCGTCAGATTTTGGTTCACATTTAACATGTATTTGAAAACCCATGCACATAGAAATCACATACATATTTACAAAATATAATACAATTAAAATTTATTTGGTAAGACATGGGCAAGTGGATAATTTATTTATTTAAAATCTTGAATTCAAAGTGAACGCAGTAACGCTGTCATTATGGGGTTATCATCATCATTAAATTATTTGCAGTTCACTGCTGGACTTAAGCCTCTCCCAACGAGATCCAAAGAGCATAATCCAAATTTTTTCTCTTAGCCATTGTTAAGTATTTTCTTGACGTCGTCGGTCCATCCAACTTTGCCGAGACGTGACCTACATGTGGTCGGGATGGATAGGGTAAGGTCAGGGATAGTTTCACCGAATTTTTTTATTCCATAAGCTATGTCACTATAATAGTCGAAAAGATTTTGAAAGGTAGAGGAGCATACCACCGTTCAGCGGCATTTTTGTGGAAGGGCGATATGCTGATATAAAATATCACGAAGAGAGTGTACCTTGGGTACGGGACTATTCCCACCTCTCGTTCCCACCACTGCAACTCCTGTGTAGCCAGCATCTACAGCTTGAATGCCACAAAAACCCAACCAGTGAAGGTCAAGTTTGTCCCAGGGGAAAATTAAACTGTCATTGGACCCGCAACGAAATTAATCAGAAGAACATAGGAGGAGTTCGAAATTAAGGTTCGACTTCCCTCCATTGCAAAGCGGATGACATGTGAAAAACAAAGGTTTAAAACCTTAAGAAAAGATTATGCACCTTGGGTAACATGATGCCCGGATTTACAGTGGAGTGGGGAAGGACGGACAGGGCGTACCTTCAGCGACATTTTTCTGGGCCATTTATAGGATTCCTACGGGACCGTAGGACTGGTAGGAGAGGGAAGGATGGGAAGGGCCCTTCAGCGACATTTTTCTGGGCCATTTATAGGACTCCTACGGGACCGTAGGACTGGTAGGAGTGGGGAAGGATAGGAAGGGCGTACCTTCGGCGACATTTTTCTGGGCCATTTATAGGACTCCTACGGGACCGTAGGACTGGAAGGCGAGGGGAAGGATGGGAAGGGCGTACCTTCAGCGACATGGTGGCGGGCTCGGCGTCCTCCCCCGCGAGCCACTCGTCGGCTGTAAGACTGGCTTCATCACTCAGCGTGTCAGGGTACAAGTCTTCTTGGAAGAGCTCCGACTTGCGAGGCACCGTCATTGACACCACCTGGCACGGGATATAGTTTAAGAATAAAAATAAATTTATTACTGTATAAAAACTTAGCCTAAACACGTACAAGTTTGGTTTTAATAAAATTGAGGTGCGAATGTAATTAATTGATACCTAAACTAAGTAAAATTTATTGCCTGCATCTTAAAAAGTGCTGACTATACAATATTAGAATAAAATAGAAGTTTGTGTAGATGTTACATCAAATAAGTGAGGATTCCTTGGGATTCTTGAGCGTTTTCCACCAAGGAACGAGCGGCGTGCTGTTTCGTTTCCTCTCGTCTTACCTCCTTTTAAATAGCTTCCTGGTGAAGAGACAGCCTAAATTGTGCCTTCCCAACTTAGGTGTTACAAGAAGATTAGTCAATTTTTATGTGATGTGCGATAAACAATGTCTAGGTATTTATCATTAATTTATAAATCAGACGATTAGAATAAAAAAAGTAAAGTTTCGAGTATTTGATTATGGTATTTTAGTGACGTCAACAACCTTACCTGACAGAGTCCAGAATTGTTTAGCCTATAGAACTTGGCGATTTCACACGTGGCCACGTCGCACCCTCTCTTCGGCATCATGCCGATACCTGCACAAAAACAATGCGAAATTGCCGATATTTGATAATAAAATATTGTTGTAAAAGTTAATGAAAGAATGTGTTTACCTCGCTGTGGGTCTGGCGTTTGGAAGGTGTTGATGTAGTGGACGAATGGGGGCTCGGGTGTAACCTGCAAATGGAAATAGTTATTTTAAACCTGAGTAGTCGATCGATGAATATTAAATTGTGCGGTTTATTTGACCGGGATCCCAACTTTATTAGAGGGTTGAAGAGTGATGAGAGGTGAGAATTAACTTGACTGAGAGAGGGTTGGGAAGGTCAGTAGCTTTCATTGGTTTAGCGACAGCTATGACGGTGGATAGTCTGGTCTGCGAGCACGTAGAATTTTGTCCAATGACCCCAAACTACCCATCCTTATCGCTCGCGCGTAATTATCTGTCGCGACTGTGCGACGCGCGCCCGTAGTGAGTGTGCGAGCCATTGATTGGTTATTCAAACATTTTTCCGCTTCGTTCCGCCATCGTGGAAACCAGGTCATAGTCATGAATGGGTTGCAAAAACAAGGGAGGTGAGAAGTGGAGGGAGGGGGGATTACAAACGATGCAGGTGCGGGGTAGGAAGGGTTTTCTTTCATCGATTTTACGACAGATATACCTTTTTTTATGTGACAGGAGGCAAACGAGCAGACGGATCACCTGATGGTAAGTGATTACCGTCGCCCATAGACACCCGCAGTCCCAGGGGCGTTACAGGTGCGTTGCCGGCCTTTAAGGTGAAGATACGCTCTCCTCTTGAAAGCTTGCAGGTCGTATCCGTCCGGAAACACCACAGACGACAGTCCATTCCACAGTTTGGTTGTACGGGGCAGGAAGTTTCTAGAGAAGCGTACTATTGTGGACTACCAACCATCTAAGTGATGGGGATGTAAGTGCTGTCGAAATACCTCGAAGTAGCGGATGACGGAGTCGCCCTTGCCGCAGAGGTAGATGAGGTTGGTATCGGGGTCGTAGAGCGGGAACATCACTCCGTTGCTTGTGTCGATCTCCGTCACGAGCGCTCCGCTAGACACCAGGCGCTCACCTCGAAGTAGCGGATGACGGAGTCGCCCTTGCCGCAGAGGTAGATGAGGTTGGTATCGGGGTCGTAGAGCGGGAACATCACTCCGTTGCTTGTGTCGATCTCCGTCACGAGCGCTCCGCTAGACACCAGGCGCTCACCTCGAAGTAGCGGATGACGGAGTCGCCCTTGCCGCAGAGGTAGATGAGGTTGGTATCGGGGTCGTAGAGCGGGAACATCACTCCGTTGCTTGTGTCGATCTCCGTCACGAGCGCTCCGCTAGACACCAGGCGCTCACCTCGAAGTAGCGGATGACGGAGTCGCCCTTGCCGCAGAGGTAGATGAGGTTGGTATCGGGGTCGTAGAGCGGGAACATCACTCCGTTGCTTGTGTCGATCTCCGTCACGAGCGCTCCGCTAGACACCAGGCGCTCACCTCGAAGTAGCGGATGACGGAGTCGCCCTTGCCGCAGAGGTAGATGAGGTTGGTATCGGGGTCGTAGAGCGGGAACATCACTCCGTTGCTTGTGTCGATCTCCGTCACGAGCGCTCCGCTAGACACCAGGCGCTCACCTCGAAGTAGCGGATGACGGAGTCGCCCTTGCCGCAGAGGTAGATGAGGTTGGTATCGGGGTCGTAGAGCGGGAACATCACTCCGTTGCTTGTGTCGATCTCCGTCACGAGCGCTCCGCTAGACACCAGGCGCTCACCTCGAAGTAGCGGATGACGGAGTCGCCCTTGCCGCAGAGGTAGATGAGGTTGGTATCGGGGTCGTAGAGCGGGAACATCACTCCGTTGCTTGTGTCGATCTCCGTCACGAGCGCTCCGCTAGACACCAGGCGCTCACCTCGAAGTAGCGGATGACGGAGTCGCCCTTGCCGCAGAGGTAGATGAGGTTGGTATCGGGGTCGTAGAGCGGGAACATCACTCCGTTGCTTGTGTCGATCTCCGTCACGAGCGCTCCGCTAGACACCAGGCGCTCACCTCGAAGTAGCGGATGACGGAGTCGCCCTTGCCGCAGAGGTAGATGAGGTTGGTATCGGGGTCGTAGAGCGGGAACATCACTCCGTTGCTTGTGTCGATCTCCGTCACGAGCGCTCCGCTAGACACCAGGCGCTCACCTCGAAGTAGCGGATGACGGAGTCGCCCTTGCCGCAGAGGTAGATGAGGTTGGTATCGGGGTCGTAGAGCGGGAACATCACTCCGTTGCTTGTGTCGATCTCCGTCACGAGCGCTCCGCTAGACACCAGGCGCTCACCTCGAAGTAGCGGATGACGGAGTCGCCCTTGCCGCAGAGGTAGATGAGGTTGGTATCGGGGTCGTAGAGCGGGAACATCACTCCGTTGCTTGTGTCGATCTCCGTCACGAGCGCTCCGCTAGACACCAGGCGCTCACCTCGAAGTAGCGGATGACGGAGTCGCCCTTGCCGCAGAGGTAGATGAGGTTGGTATCGGGGTCGTAGAGCGGGAACATCACTCCGTTGCTTGTGTCGATCTCCGTCACGAGCGCTCCGCTAGACACCAGGCGCTCACCTCGAAGTAGCGGATGACGGAGTCGCCCTTGCCGCAGAGGTAGATGAGGTTGGTATCGGGGTCGTAGAGCGGGAACATCACTCCGTTGCTTGTGTCGATCTCCGTCACGAGCGCTCCGCTAGACACCAGGCGCTCACCTCGAAGTAGNGGCGAAATGATAATTTGACCAAATGAATTAGTTGCGAAAAGTACAGTTGCTAAAAGTTCATTTGGGAAATGAAACTTTGACGATAAGTTGTTTGCGAAGTGAAATTTGGCGAAAAGTACTTTGGCCAAACGGAAGGATACCGTTCATGTCTCCATCTTATACATCAAAATGTACTCATCGTAAGTTCTTGTATTGAAGTTAGTCCTCAGATTTCGTTAAGGACGAAACACGCGAAACAGCTTGCATTAACATATTTTTTAAAATGTAGTTGCAACTAAATATGATATCAACACCGAGGAGGTCAATGAAAAAGACGCTATGTTATTATTCACCAATATTCAGCACACCTATACCCTGTAGTTCCTGCAGAATACTAAGGGTGAGTTGCACCATTATACTTCAACTTTGACAAACGTCGAAAACCTGTCAAACTCCATACAAAAAGCACCGTTTATTGTTCATCATCATCATCGTCATCACAGCCATAGGACGTCCACTGCTGAAAATAGGCGTCCCCCAATGCTGTTGCCCGGTTGGAGCGGCCTGCGTCCAGCGGCTTCCTAAAATAAAGTGGTGCAACTCAGCCTTACAAGAGTGTATTTTCAAACTCTAGTGTACCTGATCTTCTTGTCGCGGCAGGTGGTGAGCAGCTTGGAGCCGGACCAGTTCCAGCAGGCCGAGTAGATGAGGTCGGGGTGGCAGTCCAGCGACAGCAGCACCTCGCCGGTTCCCACGTTCCAGATCGCTATCTGTTGGAGAAAACATAGCATTGGTCTCTGTCTGGTATTGATAAGGTTTAAGACAGATTGTCTATATTATTTTATTATTCAATCATAATCATTTAACCTGGAATAAACTGAATGCAATTGGCGGGGACAGAAGTCGGTGGAAGGTTGAAGAAGAGGTTCGAATACGAACTCTAAAGGCTGCTATAGATAGAATCCTTTAACCAACATTTAGTTTAGTTTGTTTCATCAACCAGAGAACGTCCATTGCTAAACAGGGGCCTCTCCCAATGATTTCCACAACAATCCGTCATACGCTGCTCGTATGCAGAAGTTTCCCGCGACCGCAAATGTCTGATTATTGAAGAGTAACTCGGTCAAGCTGTAGAATTTACAGCTGGACCAAGTTACTCTTCTACAGTGTAGATCCCGGTCATACAAGAGTTGCGGCGGTGGGAATGAAAGGTGAGGATAGTCCAGTGAGCCTAGTATTCCATCTATTTCATCACCATCAGATCCACCGCAGGGTTTGTAAGTGCTCGCGACAGCCTGCCACCTCTAAAGACCCCATCTTTCTTTTAGCCTTCTAGCATCCAGAAGACAGTGACATCCCGCCATCTCTAAGGACCCTATCATTCTTTGCCCCTGTAGCCACGCACCTGGTTATCCGAGCCCGCTGTGAGCAGCACGTTCTGAGCGGTGGGGTGCCATAGCACGAGCCCCACGCGGCGCTGATGGTACACCAGGTCAACCACGGGGTCCGTGAGAGTCCTCGATAGTCCGCCATCGGGGATCTGCCACACCTGTAAACATTGTATTTAGATGAGAACTATTGAAATGAAACGACATTTAGTTAGATTATACCAGCATTTGGCATTTACGATCGTCTAAAGCCCGGTCGCCGAGCACGTAGGATTTCGTCCATTGTCCCCAAGCTACGCGGCCGCCCGTTACACAGTCGCGACAGCAATATAATTACGCGCGAGCGATAAGGATGGGTAGCTTGGGGTCAATGGACGAAATTCTACGTGCTCGGCGACCGGACAATAATAAGGGTAGCCCTTAAAGGGCTCTTCTCTCCTTATCTTTGGGGCCCTACAAGCGCGAGACAAACATATGACAAGTGCTGAGAAGAAACTACGAAACAAAAATAGCTTAGTAGAATATACAGAAGATATTATACGTACTGGTACATTAAGTGAAATATTATTTAGAGATTGTAACATATTAATGAAATAAAATTAAAATAGAGATAAATAAATCATTTCACTCATCCATCCATAACAAAATAGTTGATATTGATGTATGTAATTGTTTTGTTTGCTGTTTATTATTTTTTATCTCATTAAATTAGTTATACACATTTCACAATATTTGATTTATTATATTCATAATTTAAAAGTGTTTTCGTAATTAACGAAATTTAATTTCGATTAACAATAATATAAATGTAGTACTAAACCCAGTTACTTTATTACAGAATTAAAATGTAAATTACTTAGGTAGTACATAAATTGAAAAAGAGGCTGACTAAATAGTGACTGAGTTTCTTGTGCTCTATTTCTTCTTAATAATGGTGTACCTATGTATGTATGTATGTATGTTAAAAATACAGTGTAAACTCTTTAATAACGACACTAAAGGGACTGAGCATTTTTGACGTTATTGAGAGTTGTCGTTGTATAGAGTGACATGGTAAAGCAAATAGAAACAAGGTGATCCAACAAAGTCAAGAAATTGTGACGTTATAAAGAGTTTTTCGTTAAATCGAGTGAAGTTATAGAGAGTTTACACTGTATATGTTTTTTCCTGAATACAAAAAAATAATAAATTAATTCAATGTATTGTACCTTGACGACGCAGTCTTCCGAACCGCTGGCGATGACGTTGTCATTGTGCGGACACCACGCGATGTCCAACACTGGGCCTTTGTGCCCGCCCACTAGTGGGTGGTCTGCTGGGATCCGGCCCACCTGGAAACAACACGTTATAACGTTAGTTTACCGTCGTTGGACTTCATTCGTTCGTTTTAGCCGAATGACGTCCACTGCTGGACAAAGGTCTCCTCCAAGGTTTTCGACAATCAAGGGTCCTGCGCTGCCTTCGTCTCTACGAGCTATGTGCCCCGCCCACTGCCACTTGATTTTAGCAATTCTGCGAGTTATGTCGGTCACTGGTTCTCCTGCGGATCTCCTAATTTCTGATTCGATTACGCAGGGAAACTCCGAGCATAGCCCGCTCCATCAACCCCTAATTTGTGAGTGACCTCTATGAAAACAAATTGCCTGTTATGTGTTACCATAGGGGTCATTTAAAAAATAGGGATTGATGGTGAAAACGGGCATAAGCTGCATAAAGATAGGTAAATGCATAAAGTTGCATAAAGACAGGTAAAATAGATAAGGTGTATGCTTGGACGAATAAGGTGTAGGTAGTCGCTATAACTCCTACTGATCTTATAAGAAAGTATTCTCAATCCAAAACATGTAATCATTCTCATTATTTATTGACAAAATAGAAGCTCAATGTCAACAGGGAACATAATTTGCTCGATAAACATTTTTTTCCTTGTATTTATCTTTCTTTTGTTTCCAATTAACCACAAATGCACCTCAAATGGAAGCGTGCACGTTATTCTAAACAATTACGAGTTTAACTGCCCATTAACATTTGAATCAGCATGCAGCACTAATAAAAACTGTACTTATCTACTTTTTCAACTATTATTGTTGTCTAGACCACTTTTTAAGAGTTAATTTCAATTAGAAGATTGAATTGCAACACAATAGAGTTATAAAATGTAATTAAAATTATTTCCAACTAATAATCTGAAGAAAAAAAAAACAGAACTAATTTTAGCACAAGACTGATATTTTGCGATACAGTCAGCGTGAAATAATTCGTGACACCTAAAGTAGCCAAATAAGTGCAGAACACGTCTTTGTTACGATTGGAATAAGGTCCTGTTGTCAACTTTTCGGCCACTTTCGGCCACGAACTATTTGACGCTGACTGTATAAGATCAAAAAACAAACGCGAAAAATCATAATAAAACATTTTGTTTATGCTCAATAACAATAAAAGAGCGTTGAAATACTATTATACGGTTAATACGGTATTTATAAAACAATGATGCAATCACCGAGCGATAACGATAAAATCTATCGCATGACGACAGCTAGCGTTTAGAAGAAACTGCAGAGAAATGTAAACACAATAAACGGAATACTTTTTGTAAATAAACTAGCGACCCACCCCAGCTTCGCATGGATGCTTAAGTTCAAATTCAAAATTTCTTTATTCTCTTATAAGACACATTTACAGGGATTGGGATTCTTTTGAGTTTAGAAAACCTACATTATACACCTTCCTCTTGAATCACTCTATCTATTAAAAAAACCGCATCAAAAACCGTTGCGTTCTTTTAAAGATCTAAGCATACATAGGGACAGACAACGGAAAGCGACTTTGTTTTATACTACACTAGCTTTCCGCCCGCGGCTTCGCCCGCGTGGAATTTTGTCTGTCACAGAAAAACTTTATCGCGCGCGTCCCTGTTTCAAAAACCGGGATAAAAACTATCCTATGTTCTTTCCCGGGACTCAAACTATCTCTATGCCAAATTTCATCAAAATCGGTTGCGAGGTTTAAGCGGGAAAGCGTAACAGACAGACAGACAGACAGACAGAGTTACTTTCGCATTTATAATATTAGTTGGGATATGTAGTGATGTAATACGACATTTCGATTTGTTAATTTCACGTAACGAGTCACCCACTAGAAACTAGGTGTAAAAGATAATCCTAGCATTAAATAATTTATATTGCCAAGATGTCAGTAATTGCGAATCTAAAGAGATATTAGTATGAATTACAGCTCTAGATAAGACGTGAAAATACTGTTCTGACGTTAGGAAATTCCTATCCCACAGATTGGCTCGCAGGTAAGTTGGCTGCAATAAACAAAACTCGCTCTAAGTGCTGGTGATCACTAGCTGGTGGTTACGCGACTATTCCCACCTCTCGTTCCCACCGCTGCAACTCCTGTGTAGCCAGGATCTACAGCTTGATCGCCAATAAAAACCCAAACAGTGAAGGTCAAGTGTGTCTCGGGGGAAAGATGGTTGGTTGGTTTGCTTTCAAAATCATGTTTAAGTAAGGAAGGACAATTTTTTTCTATTTCCAGAGATCCGGCACTTGCCTATGAGATCCTGCCTACCAGATGTTATCATCGCACGTTATCAGCTTATCAGTAAAGGTTCACTATCGCTTGACATTCGCGTAACGGTATCGGGCGGTAGCCGCTTCGAGATAGCAGTGATAATGAACTCCCATTAAAAAGTGCTGATTAATTCGATACCAGTTTGACGGTCTGTCTGAAGTATTTTTTTGATCATTTGTTTCCACCAAAAGACGTACACTGCTGGACAAAGGCATCCTTCAAGGATTTCGACAACGACCGGTCTTGCACTGCCCTCAACCAGGCTCTTTCAGCGACCTTCACCAGATTCTTGGATGAAAATCCCCCCTAGCACACTGAATGATGGAAAACCCTAACGCACTATTTACATACATATTTAACAAGGACTAACTATGAAATTCGAAAGAACTACAAAATACCTTTGATTACAATACACTTTGGATCGGAACATCATCATGTATTTTCGACAGTACACTTTCACATGTCAAAACAATGGAGTGAAAGTAATAATTAGCGCCATTATACGAGCTCAATTACCGCGCGAATTTCGTGTTTTGGCGCCAACGGCGCAGATTCTTTCGTCTGCTAAGTGGGTCAGTGGCCAGTGCGCATGAGTTGTCTCTATTATTTTATCCTCCCGCGACTATTTTTGGACTAGTTCGTGTTATCCTCTTTGTTATGAAGGATTTTTGTTTCGTTGTGCATTTATTGCACGTAGGGAGGTTTTTCCAAGTTTGTATTAATTAGGTATTGCACCCTAATGCACTAGAGAGGCAAGAATATATTAAAACCAAAGATATCATTGATCTTTGAGTTAACGAGGTCATAGTAACACTGGGAAAAAGCTATTCTGTATTGATAAATTTTTGAGATAGGCCTCTTTATTTCTGCAAAATTGTATTTCCTAGATCTTTTCTTAGGATTTTTTAGATGCCTTTTTATAAAAAAAATTAACACCTTGAACTCACAGTTCTTTCTGCAGTCCGATTCGATACCCACAGACAAGTAACATGATCTTTTGCAATGCTTTACTGTAACACGATACGGCGGCTACTGTGATCTGTGATCTAACACGATACACGTGATATCACTTCGCGAGCAGTTAATTTCCGAAGCGATCGTAAATCCTGGCCGGTTATTATAATAACTCATTACGCCCACACGTGAGATTAGTTTTATTTTAAACGTAAATCACTCGCAAGGCAGATCTTTCAGAGGTGTTCCAGATCTAATATTCTGCAAGTGATGGCAGCGAGCGTCAGAATGGAGAAGTTTCGTGATGTTGAAACATTAGATTTCACTGAATGGGATTAAAATATAGACCAAAACTAAAAAGCCGGTTAAGTTATTTTTGAAATCCATCAAGAAGAAAATAATTATTTAAATTACCTCCATATTTTCGCGTGGAACTTAAACATACGCGCGGTGCCGTGATATGCGCAACTGTCCTGTAACTTTAGTATTGGTAGAGATATTTTCATGATTCTTTCACAATTATAGTTTTACATATTTTCAAGTTTTATTAAAATAAAAAAATTGGAAACTTGTCCGTTGTGCTATACTGTCTAGTAGAGCATTAGAGTAGATCATTGACAGTATGTCACATTTGAATCAGAATAAAGCTGTCACATTAGTGGTACATCCTATTCACGTCGCGTTGTAGCGTTATGATAACCCGAGCTAGGAATCTGATTAGGATAGTTTTTCGTAGATAATTTTCACTTTCTTTGTAGTAGCTTTGTCGAACGTTTGAATTCTGATCCCATATGTTTTGGCTTGAGTTACTTTTATTATATCACCTATGTTTCTTCCTTTTTCTTTTCTCTAGCGACAGTAGCGACACGATATTTGCTACAGGCGCTGAAGATCACCTCTTTGGAAAATATCGAGCAGCTCATATCACCCCTTCTTCATGACATCGCCAACTTGCCAACTGTCCAACACCCCCAAACATTGGCCACAACGTTTAGTCACCGTGTTTACGGGCGCACCGGCATGGCGTGCCGCCAAGCATCTCGGCTCTCCAATGCGCCGCGGTTTACTACTGCCCGGATTATGTCATGGGTTTGAATGGTTATCGGTATAATTAGAACGTTTTGAAGAGTTACCGAGGTGGTTCGATGACATTCGCGATGTGATAAGGGATGAAATATCATCTTGCTTTAAAGAGATAGTGATGGTGGTGGGTGGATCTTTAAAGATATCTGAAGGAGAACAAAACCTAAAGCAAAATACAGCAATAGGAAACTCAGAGGAAGACACATTTTGTCTGATGGGAACTTCATGAAGGTTGAAGATTGCCGCCAATGAATCGTTCCCTCTGAAGATTAATGGAACGGTCCCATGTGCACAAACAGGACGCTTACATGAGGTGAAGGTTACTAGATTGATGTAGCTTGCATTACCACTTCGGGACAACATACCGGCCTGGTGTTAAGTGTCTCCCTGTGTAAACAGTCGCCTCCACCTGCACGCAGAAGGATTTAATGAATGCTACTGGCAATGCCAGTCTTTTAGCAGAGTTTTGGGCTGACACTGTGTAGAATTGTTGTCGACACGACAAGAAAAAGAAGAACAGTCGAGTTTGGCAAAATCACTGCGGTAATGTATCCGCGAGATAGGATAGGGTCCATTAGATGAAGAACATTAGGACACTTTAATCAATAAGTCTGCAATCTGCATCTCAAGATGACTAATGGCTGCCAACTGCTACATGCGGAACCTATCATTTATCTTCTGCTTGGCTAATTAGCTATTATTTTCGATGTATTAT